GCTGATCCCTGCAAAACCGATAGGGGTCACCCCTGGGCATATTCTAGCTGATCCCTGCATAACCGATAGGGGCCGACCTGAGTTCTCGCGGGCTTTACGTCGAACCATAGGTTTAGTCAGCCGCTCATATGAGTATTTCTCTAAGCTAGGGTCCCTTTGTAGGCCCCCGATATAGTACGGCACGCTTCGAAAGGACCCCCGAAGCGACCCTAATTTAGAGAACTGCCCAAAAACTCAACCTTATGAAAACCCCCTGACAGGAGATCTGGAGGGCGTGGCAATCCGATCACTCAGAGGCATCCGGGGCATGTGCCTGCCAAACGGGTGGCTAGGCCCTTGGGGATTTTTTTCATAATGGTTGCGTTCTTATCTTATCTAGAATGCTCTTAACGGCATCTAGTTGGGCCGATTGTTTGTTTTCCCTTATTAGGGCTTAGGATTTTCTGGTGTACGATGATTTTCAGCGGCTTCGAAGTGATATCCCAGGTGGAGCGCTCCCACCATCGACGCGAAAGGCACCGTCTTCGTCGGCAACGAGGAGCCGTGATATGTATCAACAATTTGGAGAATCTGTGGATTTCCATGTCTTTTTTGTTGCGCCCCGTTGGTTCGAGCCACAGGAGGGCATGCTCTATTCTCTTCGTGACATGGATGGTGACGGTGTCATCTTTGGCGATGAGGAGACTTCAAGTTATGACACAAAGGCTCGATAAGGGGGGGGACGGGGTTTACCCGAAGAGCCCGATAGTGCTTATGAGCCCGGAGATCGAAACACGCATCCCCCACAGCACCGGCCGAAACCCTCAGCCCGAAACCCTTGAGACTCTCGACCCTGGGGACCGCGAATCCCTAACACCCTGAATCTCTGGTGTCACCTCTATTGCTGTCTTTGTTTTTCTCCCGTCCAGAAACACACATCGTCGAATACTGAATTCCTTGGCTCCTGTTTCTGCATACTTCAATAGACCCCCAGAAACACAGAGCTCCTTCAATCAGCGAAAGTGTGATCAGGGGCAACCCCTTGAACCCCTGTAGGTCCCTCTTTTGCAGGAAGGGTAGCCCGAAACCCTAGTCCCTTACAACCCCGCTTCTTTGAAACAACGAGCAGAAGGCTACGACACCCCCACGCAAACAAAATAAGCCCCTAAACCCCAAACCCTAACCCCTCAACCCCGAAACCCCTAAACCTTACACCCCTTCCCAAACCAAAAGAACTACCGTGAAAGGCAGCCTTCTCGGGCTCTTCCTCGCCGGCCATTGCACCCGGATTCCTCGCCGCAGCCTCCTGCGACTCCCTTTTTGTCTTCAAGGCATGCCCGCGTGTCTTCTTGGTTGCCTTGGGGCTTTCACTTGTTATGCTATGCTCGGTTTAGGGTTTAGGGTTAGGGATGCCTTTTGTATCATGATGATGTGTACCATTCGTGGAAAGAGGTCCCCTCAACTTTACTCGAAGAAGGATCCGGTATGGGACCCGAGTCTCAAACAACCGATGCCGTCAAGACACAGCAGCATGATATGCCCAAAAACCCTATCTAGTCCCCGATATGACACCTGACTGAATGACACTTACCAGGAGTGATCTGGCGGCTGAGTTGGTGGCTAGGCTCTTGACTCCTGTCAGGAGCAGCGAGCCGGAACATAGATCCCTCACTCTTTATGGGACGCCTGGGTCTTTCAGGCGTCTGCCGGGTTTGGGATGCCCCACACCGTGAGATTTGCGATTTTTGTCGCGACCCTCCGGTTAACGGCACCTAGATCCCAAGATCTCAAGCTGTACATGGCATGGCTGTGCCGGTCTCCCACCGTAGGTTCAATCAGCCTGTCCAGAAGCGGCAGCCCACCCTCCTGGCAACATGACGTGTAGCAAAAAGGGTTCGGGCTCTGGGGGCTCGCTTCAAGTTTCAAAGCCCTTGCATCCTAACCTCCGATGCCTATGTACCCCCGGCAAAACCATGCAAAGCCAAACCCGTTTACGCAAACAAGAACCCTAAACCCATCAAACCCTGTTGCAAAGACTTATAAACAAAGGGAATCCTAAACCCCATGCCGACGCTACGACAAAGCCTCTGATAGCAAAACAAGAACCCACTCAAACCACAAGCCCTTGGACAAAAGCCATGAAGCAAAACACATATAACCCTAAAGCCTAAAAGGCCTTCAAGCAAACGTAAAAAGGGTTTAGGGTTAAACCCCGGTAAACGCTAAGCGCTTGCGCAAAGAACTCCAACGCAAAAGGGGAACCCTACGCACCCTGAGCCCCTGGACAGCTCTGAAAAAGGCAAAAGGATGCCCCAAATTAGGGTTTAGGGTTTAGGGGTTTAGGGTTTAGGTTTTAGGATTTAGGGTTTAGGGGTTTAGGGTTTAGGTTTTAGGATTTAGGGTTTAGGGTTTAGGGTTTAGGGAACAACTCACATGCACCCGGGCGAGCAACCCTGAATCTTGCATCTTCCGAGGTGAACACCCACGACCCGGCCGCAGGTGGCAGGGATGACTTGGCTCCAAAGGCGGGTAAACCAAAACCTGACGGATCCCTGGAAAGAGTAGACTATAGGCTTTAGGGTTCTATACTAGGGTCCCCATAGGCCCGGGTACGACAGGGTTCTATACTAGAGTCCCCCTTAAGGGACTTTAGGACCTCTATACTTAGAACACCCGCGCGAAAACCCTGTGAAGAAGCCTCATAAATGCTGACTTTACTCAACCAGGCACATATCTTGAACCCTCAGCGCAGGAGCGGCACTAAATCCACAAAAATAATTTTTTAGCAACGAAACCCTGTTAACACGATTGAGGCTCCTCTCTTACCGTAAACTTTAATGCCTAACCCTTAAACCTTCTTTTAATTATTGAGGCCCCAATCTGACACTAAACCCTATTTCCTGAACCTTCACCCCTTCTCGTCATACCCTGAACCCCAAACCCTAAACCCTAAGGGAAAAAGACTCAACCCCCCCAGCCCTAAACCCTAAACCCTATCCTGAAAGACCTTCAGCGCAGGAGGGGCAGGTCTCGGCTGCTATCCCGGCGCTGGGTCCGGCAACAGGGCTGCTTGGGGCCTCCTTGGGGCTTTGGGGTCTTGGGGCCTTTGAGTTTGGGGCCTTAGGGTATAGGGTTTAGGGATTATGGTGTTGTGTTTTTCGTCTCGGTTTAAGGGGGGCCGAGTCTTCAGTCGTGTTTAAGGGCGTTTGGGTGCAGCGTTTAGCCTCTTGGGGGCTTTGGGGTTTCAGGGTTAAGGGCCTGTGAGCTTGCGGCTTAAGGGCCTAGGATTGGTGATGTTGGTGATTGTCTTAGGGTTTAAGGCTAAGGGTTTAGGGTTTAGGGTTAGAGTTTGGGGTGGGGAGTTTCGGGGTTTGGGGGGTAGGTTTAGCTTTTCTGGTATGTCATAGTATACTTATACGAAAGGGCCTTGAAGGATAACTTGGTAATGATCCAGGCTTCGACACTATTGAGGCCTTCGAAGCTTTTTTCGCTTAGGCATGAGCATTTTTACAAGACATTCGGGAAATCGTTCTCCAAGGTACTGGAGCACATCGACACATTGGTCGGTGACATCTTATCGCCACAGCAGCTTGCCGAAGAGTTGGACTTTCCTTGCAGGCCCCAATATAGTCGCTATTACACATCCGTGTGGCTGGGGCTTGGCATCAGATGGCTTTGGTTGTCCTTGTTTGTAGACTTACGGCAGACAGCCATGGCATTATTCGGCACAACATCTTTCATGAGGTTTGTACAGGTGTTCAGGTACCTATTTAACCTAGTTGAACGGCATTTAGTATATGGGTAGTTCTGAAAAATTAGGACCCCTTTCTAGATCCCCAATATAGTACCGCACCCTTCTAAACAAGGGACCCCAAAAGGTACCCACATACAAGCTTGCAGGTAATCCGACACCTCAACCCTAAACCCCACGCGAATCACACAATCCTGGCCCATAGTTTGGGCCGGAGTCTCGATCTGTTTGCATGCCAGATGGTCAAAGGTAGTAGTCGTAGTAGTAGTAGTCGTCGTCGTCGTACTAGTAGTAGTCGTAGTCCCAGTCGTAGTCGTAGTCGTAGTCAAAGTA